GTTCTTGTACAATACAATTTCTTGAACCTTCTGGCTGTATTTATTCCTAGTTTTTAGAATGACATGGTTCAAGAAATTGTATTGTACAAGAACATGAACTAAAGATGATTGTTGACAAATTTATCGTCTGAAATATTTTGTTTATCAACTAAGCAACGACAATTTCCGAATTTTCGTTTGAGATACATTTCTTTAAAAAAAACTATGTCGCCAAATATAAAAAAAAATTCGTGTTCACAATAATTAAACTATAGGATTTATTCTACAATTTGAGTGGGTTAAGAAGCTTAACTTTTCGAGAGTTTTCTTAACTTTTTAGTTTGAATTTTTGTTTTGAATAATTTTGCAAAAATTTTCGAAGTCGTGTCCGTTAAAATCAACAATTTTTTACATGAATTATATTTCATTCCATACTTTAAATGCCAGGACGCTTTCAATTAATGTCTAGTCTACCCATTTGCTATATTTTCTCGTTTGTTTTACTAATTTTTGACCAATTAATAAGCATGTTTTTGTTTTAGAAATTGATATTCAAATTACCCGCCATATTTTCATAATTTGGTGCATGCGCAGACGTTTTTCCGCGGTGTTGGACTAATGACACTTGTGTGAAAAGAGTCAGTCAACGCTCCACCGAAAATCGTGGGTTTTCTCCGAGTACTCCGATTTCTTTCCACAGAACTAACCCTTCTACTATAGCTGTGCTCCATGATCAGACATGGGTCATAAGGTGGCTGCCAGAGGCGCCCTTAGTAAGCCTTCGACTCGATCACTTTGAGCTGTGTCCTTCGCAATTCAGCTTAGCTCTCAGCTGCAAGTAAGGATGTTTAGCACACAGTGGCGTGCTGGCAGGGGGGGGCGGGGGGCCACGGCCTCCCCAGCTGGCAATTTGTGAGGGGCGCAAAAATGAAAAGGGGGCGCCGATCCCGCGCCGAATTTTGAAAGTAGGTGGGAAGAAACGCATTCGTAGAAATATAGTCACTAATTTCGCCAAGGAAAGATGTGTTTATACACTTATAAACAGACTAAGCGCATAGGCGACAAAGTGAGTGAGTATATTAAATTGCAGACTACTTTGTCTAACCGTATTTGCTACCTCACGACTCACACGAAATCACTCGTTCATATAGAAACATGATCAGTGATCACACGCAATGTCTCATTACCGGAATATTGATCAGGCTTCGAAGCGATCACGGGAATCATGCATATGCGTGGGGTCCGTGTGTTATTGTATAAAAGAGCTGTAAGTTGTAAATGAATTCAGATCAGCAGAGAATAAAATTGGGATTAGATTAATTGCTGGAAGTAGTTAGCATTGCCCAATTTAAGTGCTACTACTAAATTCTAACCAATTTTCAAATTTCGACACGTTGTAATGCCGTTTCCTGACCATCAGATTTCTGTCAAATCTTCCCCCAAAGTCCAGGAAATGGCATTTCAGAGACTCTAAATTCAAAAATTTTCCCGGGGGGGCATGCCCCCGGATCCCCTAGACAAACCTCGCACCTGTGGCGCTCGGCTCGTGCCTTCGGCCCTCGTTTATCAAGGGTAATATTATAGGGGCGCATATTAGTTGCCAGCCGACTGGCCCCCCCAGAAAAATAGTACCCAGCACGCCACTGTTAGCACACCCCACTTACCTAAACGAGATGACAACGCCTCTCAGATATACAAAATGCTGTGCTGAGTGGTTATGTTACCACCTTAAAACGTCGAGTTTCTGCTTATTTTTTAAGGTAGTAATATAACCACTCAGCACAGCATTTTCACATTGGTACTACCCACACTGGTACAGACATTCTCAAATATACACAATTTTAAATTCGATCAAGATATACTGTACCTACCTTTACAGTTATCAATACAAGAGAAAGAACCATGGTTGCAATAAACAGAACTTTTGTCAGGTTATTCACTTCAATATCCAGTAAACCAATCTACAAGAATTTACTAAATTGAGCCAACTTTATTTAAACTGGATAGCTCTATCAGTTCTAAACTGATCTCATTAGACTGCATGGGTCCAATAAAGACCATTATTAGTTAAAGATTGCTGCAGAACGAAGAGCTCTATCACTTCTAATCTTTTCTCCGTGAGACGAGGTCCAGTAAGTGACACCCTTTTAAAATTTGTTCTGCTGCACCCTTAATTACACTGGAAAACCCAGGGAAGAGCCTAGGAACGAGGTTGTGGAAAACCGAGCAATTTGAAAACATCGGTTACAGATACTTTCCAGATTTAGTAGAGTTAAACTGTGATGTATGGTATAATCAAATTGTGATGTATGGTAGAATCTGTGGTAGAATCAAACTGTGATGTATAGTGGAATCAAACTGTGATGTGTGGTAGAATCATGCTGTGGTGTATGGTAGAATCAAACTGTGATGTATGGTAGAATCAAACTATGATGTATGGTAGAATTAAACTGTGGTGTATGGTATAATCAAGCTGTGATGTATGGTAGAATCAAACTGTGGTGCATGTGCTCAAGCGCACGTGGTTCGACTCCCACCACAGTCAAGCAAACCTTTCAGCTTTCCCAGTGTGGAGCAGGGTCTTAGCTAGGATTTTAGATCTTGGGCGTGTTTCTAAATGACCAAGGTGTGCACATGTCAATTACCTTGAATAGCCAAATTCACGATTCTAGTTATGGCTCGCCAACAACAGACAATGCCTGTGGTTGTTCTATGCTTTGGAACCAAATACAAGGCGAGCATATACGCTCATATTGCGCACTGACATTAAAATATTAAGTTATTTCAGCAACTCTTGGGGGTATTTAAAACCATTTTACAGTAACATCATATCCATCAAAACATTAAAACATTACGGATCAGTTTTGCTAATTTCAACAACTACAGTAGATTTTACAAACTTTCTTACGACGTAAATATAGGAAGAAATTATGTCTGTTGTAAGCAGTAACACCTTATTTTATGAACCTACACGGCCTAAAATAAATAATGAAGCCGCATTCATTTTATCTAGCCGTGTTTTTCCATTTTTGGCCGCGATAACACGGCCAACACGGCCCTCTAGCTAAGACCCTGGTGTGGAGACACTCAGAGTAACACCATCGCAATTAAATTGTGATGTTTGGAAGAGTTTTCTGAGAGGAAATTTTACTCAAGCATCTGCACATTGCAGAATTGAACGCCAACGGTATTCACATGTCACTGTTTCAACATGGTAAACCACCTCACCTTGCTGGTTGGAGAGGTGGTGTTCAAAGCATTTCTTGTTTCACGACCAGTGTATACTACAATACCAACAGCTGTTCCTACAAAGACAAGCAAAAATATTGTTTAGGGCGCTGTTCCAGAACCACAAAGCGCCAGGTTTGATTCCTGCCAAATGGCCCATGTGTGTAAACGTAGCTTATCATTAGTTCAATCGAGAGTGAGATGCCCAGAAATGGACAACTTGCATGTTAGACTAAATTTTAATCTAAGCAGAGGAAAGGGAATCAAACACCACAGCTGAAAAGAATATACTAAAATTAGTAAAAGTGCAAAATTTGGTTGCGAAATGTTGTAAAGCTTGGAAAATATAGCTTTGTAAAATTTGCATATTTTCAGTATATTTGTATTACGAGCGGAAATTGTTACCATTTTCGGCTCAAAAATGGTAACAATTTCCGCACGTAATACAAATATACTGAAAATATGCAAACTTGACAAAGCTATATTTTCCAAGCTTTACAACATTTCGCAACCAAATTTTGCACTTTTACTAATTTTAATAAGTTCTTAACGGAAATTTACTTTTTTTGTCTAGATCGGCTAGATCAAAAATTTGTCTAACATGCAAGTTGTCTATTCTGATATTTAAAAAATACACTTGGCATCTCCGTCAGGGCGTTATTTTTTCACATTTGTTTTTTTGTTAGATTGCTTTGTTGTTTGTTCAATCTTTCATGTTTCATGTTTCATGTTTCAAACTTGACTTAAATATTCAAAATTTATAAATTCACGGTACTGTACCTGTAGCTATAACTGTGTTGGCCCACAACGTGTTCTCTATATTAACTGGATCTTCACCTTCGCTCTCAACTTTCTAAAATATAAACACAATTTTTGTCAAGTATCATGCCTGCGGTCGTTTTACAAATTCTCTCTGCATCATCTGTATTTACCCTGATCAATGTTCCAACAAATGAATGAATGTCTTTCTGTGGTCTCTCAACATGAATGAATGCGTTAATACTGAATAAATCCTAGAAAAGAAACACAAAATCTCTCTGATACAGGTGCTGAAGTTATAGCAATGTCTGCACATAGGAAACTATCCGTATTAGAGAGGTGTCCGTACTAAAGACATGTCTGTAATATATATATATATATGCCCATATTAGAGAGGTGTTCGTATTAGATAGGAGTCCGTATTAGAGAGGCGTTCGGATTAGAGAGGTGTTCGTATTAGAGAGGTGTCCGTATTAGAAAGGTATTGTATTGGAGAGGTGTCCATATTAGAGAGGTGTTCGTATTAGAGAGGTATTGTGTTAGAAAGGTGCCCATATTAGAGAGGTGTTCGTATTAGAGAGGTGTTCGAATTAGAGAAGTGTCCATATTAGAGAGGTGCTCGTATTAGAGAGGTATTGTATTAGAGAGGTGTTCGTATTAGAGAGGTGTTCGAATTAGAGAAGTGTCCATATTAGAGTGGTGTCCGTATTAGAGAGGTATTGTATTAGAGAGGTGTTCGTATTAGAGAGGTGTTCGAATTAGAGAGGTTTTGGTAATAGAGAGGTGTCCAAAGTAGAGAAATGTACGTGGTAGAGAGGTGTTCGTATTTGAAAGATGTTTGTATTAGAGAGGTGTTCGTATTAGAGAGGTTTTAGTAATAGAGAGGTGTTCGTATTAGAGAGATGTCCATATTAGAGAGGGGTTCGCATTAGAGAGGTGTTCGTATTAGAGAGGTGTTCGTATTAGAGAAGTGTTCGAATTAGAGAAGTGTTCGAATTAGAGAGGTTTTGATACTAGAGTGGTATCCGAAATAGAGAAATGTCCGTATTAGAGAGGTGTCTGTATTTGAAAGACATCTGTAAGAAAAGGTTTAACTGCAGTTCTAATTGTCTTACGTGGTCAGAATGCAAGCTTTGACAGGCAGGAAGAGCAATCCGTAATTTCCAATCTGTCTCTCCGTCAAGTTGATCTGTCCTTATGAAACACGAGCCTACACAAACAATATTTTTAACGTTGAACAAATGCCACATTATGGCTAGATATAGTAACACATGATTGGTACACCGACCTGGAGATTATACTCACCATTCTTTTCTGATGTACGTAAAAATATCATATCGGCTGGTACTCTTTGATTCTAAAATCACAAAAAAATATTTAATAATTTATATTGGATAACATTTTACATATAGGAACCCACTTCCCTCAAATATAAAGATAAAAAATCAATATTTTTCACTATGAGCCATAAACAAACTTTCTAAAACCTGCGTTTTAGAAAGTTTGTTTGTGGCTCATAGTGAAAAATATTGATTTTTCTCATACACAGGATTCGTATCCTGGAATAGCCTACCACAGAACCTATTTTGCAAATACGAGAGCCTCTCTATAGACTCGTTCAAAGGTTGGTTGAAATAAATGCACGCGGTGTTTTCCACAAACCAACACATAACAAAATTAGCTTCGTATTCTTTCCTCGAATTGCATACATAGTCTGAGGACTTATAGAAAACTTTAAATAAATGAACACATGCCACATGGCTATACCTTTTCCACAATAATAATATCAGATACTCGAATCTTTGAACTAGGTACTGGAACAATGCCTACACAAATTACAAAGCAAACTTAATAAATATATAATTTAATTACTCATGAGGATGACGTAACACGGTATATCCATAAACACGTCTATACCTTAACCAATTGAGCACCAGTGCCCTCCCCTTGACAGGTAAGATCGTTTGGGCAAAATGAAAAATAAAGTGTGGCACAATGCAACTCAAAGTTAAGGTGCGTTTACATGCTACGATTTGTCGTATTCTGGCGTATTAAAATGAGTGCTGGCGCTATAATTCATTGCCGTTTCGTTAAAAAGAAATTTCAAACGTAGTCAGCTTATGCGTGTTTACTCAATGACATACGCCAGAAAACGAATCGTTTACACGATAAATCGCAGCGTGTAAACGTAGCTTTAAATACAGTTGCAAAATAGGGCACTGGTATAACAGGTTATATATAATTTTTTTGCAAAACTCTGTCTTGCCCATAAAAAACGCATCTAGTTATTACAAAGATCTGAAAATCTCTATTTATCCACTGTTTAATACCTTTCTTTGTCAGTTTCTTATAAACTTGAGAATTAACTTCCTTGTCTCTTAGAAATCTTGTAAAATCATCGAAGGCCTCTCTGCACATTGTCACTGCTACAACGAACACCTGTACATGGAAAAAACACAAAATTAACACATTTGGGATTTTAGTTTTACTAAGGACACTTTGGAAGCAGAACATATAATTAAATTTCCTTTCATCTCTGGGTAATTCAATTCGTATTCTGGGCTCCAGACGTGAATGTGAAATGAGTCTGTCAAAGCTACACTTATAGGGTAATATATAGTATATGCATACCAGTGGTCCCCAATATGTATACAGATGTCCAATCTTTAAATCAGGAATGAACTGTGAAGATGCCACAAGCAGGAAATAAAGATTTAGAAAAAACTTGAACTGATTGAACAGTACCTTGAATATAAAGAAAGAAAATTATTATATAGGTAAAGCAGAGATACTACTGGTGATGATGGTGGTGGTGGTGATAGTGGAGGTAATGAGGGTGATGGTGATGAAGATCATGGTGGTAATGATGGTGGTGGTAATGATGGTGGTGGTGATAATGGTGGTGGTAATGATGGTGGTGAAGATGGTGGTGGTAATGCTGGTGGTGGTGAAGATGGTGGTGGTAATGCTGGTGGTGGTAATAATGGTGGTGGTAACGATGGTGGTGGTGATGGTGGTGGTAATGATGGTGGTGGTAATGATGGTGGTGGTAATGATGGTGGTGGTAATGATGGTGGTGGTATTGATGGTGGTGGTAATGATGGTTGTGGTAATGATGACCAGTGGTGGTGATGAGGGTGATGGCGGTACTGATGGTAGTGAAGATGGTGGTGGTAATGATGGTGGTGGTAATGATGGTGGTGGTAATGATGGTGGTGGTAATGATGGTGGTGGTAATGATGGTGGTGGTAATAATTGTGAAACTGGTGATGATGGTGAGGGTGATGATGGTGGCAATGATAATGATAATGGTGACAGTAGTGGTGGTGACAATGATGATGATGTTGATGGTCTTCAATGGTTGATGCTAAGGACAAATTGCAAGACATAATACAAAGTATCATATATCATTTTTATATATCTTACCAAGGGTATAAAAGTCAATATACTGTACTTCTGATTTCTGATAACATTTGCAGGGTAGTCTTGACGTGGAGACTGTCACAAAATATATAATATAATAATTATTTTACAGAGTAAAATAAATAACTATGTAAAATTTCAATCAAGTAGATGAAAATATTCCTTACTGGTTTTCCAATATGAACAGTTCTTGCTTGCAATTCACCAGTTCCGCATAAATTATTGCAGCATCTGAAATATAACACATAATTACATCCTCACTGATAGGAGACCAACAAAGTGAGGTAGGATCTAAATGTACAGCACAAGGCTGGTTCTGTGAGAATCCGTTTACTCTATTTATATTCACTAAAATATCTGATGACATTTGGTTTAACTTTCAACTAGAATTTTCATGTACAATTTATGCAGTTTTAAACTTGTACAATTTCAATGCATTCTAAACTCCAAGAAGTAATGAAGTTTGGGTGCTTACAACAAAAAGGTGATTTCTAAAGGTTCACCTTGACACCCTAGACACCCTGTCTAAGAAAATACCAATCAGCAGCTTCTATGGGGGAGGTGTGGATGTGTCCTAGAATAACCCATTGTTTCACTCCAATGAGCCATAGTGCTCCTGAACAATTGCAAAAGAATTAATGATAATTGATAATGCATTTATCATTGATAAATGCAATTTTTTCCTCCAATCAACCAAAATTGGTTATTTGGCAGTTATGTTTTAATTTATTCAAATATTTTCTTAAGGATTTCATGCATGAACACACATGGTCAATCAAGCACTCGAGTATGCTAATATTTAGTAACATACACACAATGTCTGATTAAAAGTCAAAACAGCCTAATGCTCAGCTAGAATCAGAATTACATGTAGCCATTAAATCTTTCACTTCATGCCAAAATATGTCCACTAGGAAAATGTGACAGCTAACAAAAAAATAACACTGACAGGTATTAAATGATTACATATGTAGTTGCATTACTTGTCAAGATGAAATATATTTAGCTAAGTCTGTGATGAATTTCTTAAATTTTGGGTTTTGAAGTAATAAAAATACACTGCATATTTCACGTTCTATGGCAGCTGTTATACACTTACGGTAATTATAGTTGTAAAACTGGAAAAAATCTGGCAAGCAATTATGAAAGAATGTGTCTGCAACCAGTGTGTGACTAACAGGTTTATTTCCTATGTGTAAACTGTAAAGTAAACAAATTAACAACTACCACGCTGCAATCAAATTAAAACAACCAACCAAAATGGGACATTTGATTATGATACGTCAATATATATTATAAACATCTACTTGAATAAATACTTTGTTTTACTAATTATTACAAAATAAATAAATAAATAGTGGTTGATGTTTTAAAATTAAGGAATATACTAGGATAGTGAGTGAAATCTGTAATACTTTCATTTTTATAGAAATCTTTAATAAAGGTAAAATATTCCATACAAAAATTTACTGTCCATAAACTGGACAACATAGTGTACAAAAATCATGCCCATACATAATTTGGAGCGATTCATTATTAAAGAAACAACAGTCTACTTCTACAGTTCTACTTCTTTCTTTAATTTGGACAAACAAACAAACAAACATAGGAATCACTTAAAAATAGTTTAAACTTAACGTTTAAATATGGAATTATAGGAGTATGTTGTTTTTAATTAAATATGACATGAATGAAAGAACAAGATGATAGATCGTATAAATGTAAATATTTAATGTTTTATACAACAATTAATACTGTTTTTAATACCTCTGACACCACCATTTCCAGCCGTAACAGACAAACCATCTAGCACGACGATATTTATACTCTCTTCTCTTTAAATCTTCCTCGTCTCCGTCAGTATCAACAGAAATATAACCGTCAGAGGAATACAATGTGTCTTCTTCGTCCTGACTGGAGTCGTCTCTACCGACAGCTTCGTACTTTGCCTTCTTTCGTTTCCATTTGCCTGACGGTTTAAGTGGGACATCTTCAAAACTCACCATCATTTCGTTTTCAAGTATAAATTAAAGGATTTCGGATGTTTTTGACGAATATTAAGGCCAGAAAATAGAAGTTAAACGGGTTCGTTTCGTTGAAAAGTTATTCCCAAAAGTAGCCATGTTTGTAAAACAGATTTGAAGTGGGTACGTCACTACGTCGTGTTAGGACAATTATAATGGTTCAGTCGCCGCAGTTTCTCTTTGTGGACATCTATATATTGTACATCTATATGTAACGTACAATATAGATGTACTATCATGTACAATATATAGATGTCCACAAAGAGAGACTTGGAGCAAGTCTACTGTTTTACCGTCGGTTGCATATCAGTTCACAAGCCCCCCCCCCAAGTGAGATTTTGTGTTTTTGAGAAGAATTTGAAGGTTTCAATTAGCTAAGCCAATCAACTTGATGCAACAGCCGAGTTAAACATATAATTGGCTATGCTCAGATGAAATTTAATATGTGCGAAGTATCAGCCTAGAAACGCAGCAAAAATGCAGCAATAGACAAACTACGAAAAACATTTGCCATGATTTTGCTTGAGGTACTAAGCGAAGAGGGAAGAGCCGGCGTACGTTTGCTCCCAGACCCATGTGCACTTCTACCCAATCTTCTACCTATGATTCTACCCAGGGATTCTAAACCTCAGATGACGCATATGTTCCGATATACTGAATTATTGTCGCATACACGAACAACATATATTCTTACATTAACAACTTTACGTACAATACATTGTTATTGGATATCGATATTTCACAGTATAAAGCCTAGAAATGTCACACATTGTTTTAGATAATTGCCTTTCTTAATAGCACTGCACTTGAATAGATTTTATAGACATGTAAATGAGGCTAGCGTTTCCAATTTAATCAAAAAACAACATGAATCTTTAGGTTTTTGGCGAGAATTTGAAAACCAAAAACTTGCTTCTAAACCGACGTTTTGTTTAGAGAAAGGGCTTTCAAATACAGTTTTCCCGATAGTATTTATTTTTGTTGTAAAAAGCAAACAGTATATTTAATTTATGCAAGGTGAATTCGTTCCATATGATTTACAGCATCATTAATGTTGCTTTTCATTTTAATTAGCTTATCTTGTATTGGCCAGGAAAAGCACTGCAGCACGAACCAAGGCTAAGGGAAGACAATTTATGTACGGCTCTGGCAAGCTCAAAATAGTCTTAAAACAAAGGAATAGTTTGGCTAAGCAAGGAATTTTTCGACATGTAAATTGTAAGGTAAGGAAGGTAAGGAACATAATATAAACTTTGTGTTTTTTTGCAATACAAATGTTGCACGTTGTCTATTGTATACTATTAAAACAAAGTCCATATGTCTTCTATTAAATAAAGGGATACATATTTTGTCAGAATACAACGGTAGCCTAGCAGTAGATTGTAACTAAGAAGAATATCGAACATTTTGCACAAAGCATGCAAATTTAGTTGCAATTAGTGTTTTACATGGAAACAATGCGTAAGGCTGCATTTCATTTGGTTGCTGCCAGTATAGGATGGGCTAAATAAACTTAAGGAGGGTAAAACGTTTGTTATTCTCGCAACTTCTCTGTCAGGATATAATATATTTCTTGGCTATGCAATACCTCTGTTACACTGTGTTCAAAATTGCGTTTAAATAACTCGTGTAACCAACTAGAAGAGATAGAAAATTTTATGCTAACAGCATTGATAAGAAGGATATTATATTAGATATTAGTTAAGTAGCTAGCCAACACAAAACTGGGCATAAATTTACTATCCAAATGCAGGACAGTTGATGATAACCGATGCCTGAGGGCCCTGCAGGGGTCAGCTGTACAAAAACTGGATAGCGACTTTTTCAAGCTTTCTAAAATTATTAGTTGATTGATATAACCCAGACTAAACTTTAGTATGTATAAATTAAAATTGTTTTTTTTCCAATCCGTATTTGTATAGCGTTTCAAGCAGTTTTATTACGGTTGAAAAATCGTTATCCAATCTTTGTACAACCGACCCCTGGTATATAGTTAATTTAATGTGTCCTCAATTTCACACGTCAAAGCAAAGCAGCTGTCCTGCAAACCTTGCCCACCTTTTGCGTTAACACTTAAACAATATCGTCAAAAACTTATTTAAAATTCAGCTCAAATTGACCCAATTGTAGGCGTTTGTAGATTGCTTTCAAACGTTCACAATGACACTTCAATCTGGTCAAGTATCAGAGACGAAAGTGCCGCATTTGTTCGCGGTTTTGAAAACATTTTTTTTTGGGGGGGGGGATATTTAATAGCTTTTCAATTTGGCATCTTTTGAGAAAATTTAATGAATCCAGTTTCAGGGGCGTATGAAGCTCCATAAACTGTTGAGGAAGCCTCTCAAAACCAAATAAATTTCCGACGGTCTAATTACGATGGGAGTAACGACGGTACTAGGACCGGTAGATTATGGCTGACTGCAATCGTTGTCCTGGGTTTGGTCTAAGTCAAGACTTTCGGTAATGCATGCAAACAGTGTAAACGAAACTTGACCTGGCCCTTGCTCACGCCAGGCGAAGACTCGAAATGCAAAGACCGCCTAATTCCGTTACGTAAAGGGCAAGCCCTCCTTATAAAATTATGGTTATAGTTTTCATGCACTTTGAGCTTATACTGACAAAACTACTTCCCCTTCCACTTTCGAAAACAGTCTTCTCCTGCATGAAGTCCTGGATTGGTTACAACAACTACTCTAATATAAAACAGCGTGAAACAGAATTGACTGAATAGTTTGAGTTTGATATACAATTAAATCAGTAAAATATCTCTGCCTCTGCCTAGCCCTGGCCAAAATACAAAGAGTACAAGATTTTCTATATCTATGAATATGCCCAAGGCCATGTATAATATAATGCTTATCACGTTACTTGTGCCTTAACTGCTATTATCAGGGTTACTGATATCGTTTTTGTCACTGATATATTTTTTGGCACTGACATTTAAACATCCCTTTTTGCCTCAAATGATTTTTGAAGAGAATAGTAGGATATAATTTCTATATATTACTAACCTAGTTATTTTAGTATTTATCACAATTTATTCTTATATATATGTAATATAGTTTTATATTATTATAAGAACTTCTGTAATTTAACCCTTTGGTTTGAAAAAAGTTTATTATTAGAATAATAATAATAAATAATAATAATCATAAATGTCCCTCGTTCGCTGTGCTCACTCGTTGCATTTATCGGATATCCCCTAGCCTGTGTACAGCCGTAAATTCTCACGTAATTAAGAGAATTTACGGCTCCTGAAAGCGATAAAAGTGAACTGATATCACCTCGCCCCACATATATGATAATCTATACTTATCATTCAATATTTCAATTTCCCAGCCTAGAGTGTTATAGTCGGGTTAAAATGATCCAATTCTAAAATTTAAACAAAGCTAAATTATTTAAACGACCTGCTTAAGTGAGAAGTTTAATTTTCTTTCGGACAAGGGCGAATATCGCGGCAAATTTTAATTCAGCAAAATTTAACACTGCAATAATTATACTGTAATATAGATGGTTGGGCTGTTAAAAAATTAGCGTTTGAAATGAGCGCATAGATTTGCCGCAACCTCCAGTGACTAACCAAACAGCCTTGGAACATGAATATCACTTATACCAGCTGGTTTCATGAACGTTTTCGTGATTGCATCATATATATAGAACAATGTCCCAAAGATTTTTTAAGGGCAATTATGTCTTACCGATATAGAAAGAGGTTTTCGTCAGTGTCACATACTGTCTTTGATAAAAGTTTATACATTGGCAACCAACAGTCTAAACCAACCTTAATTACAAATTCCTCTTATAACTTTTCCGCGGTATAAAACCAAAAACTGACGCATTTTATTCATTTTTAATACTTTCAACACTTCGATTTAATTAAATGATATAAATCTGTTTTTAATCATTGATAAAAAGTCCAGAACACTTGGTCTGGAATCTGTTAAATTGAGTTTTAAATTTCAATCCGTTCTGGTAGTTGTGCACGCAAAGTTTATGCGATCTGCTTTGGGTCTTTGAAGGATTTGGATATAACAAAATACTGTGTAAGACATCCTCTATATAGGTTGGCATGATTGGACTATCTTACAGCAGGCGGTGCGGTCAACTGCAACGTTATCAGTGTGAGAAAATAATCGGTTATTTTTTCTTCATATGGTGTTGTATTGGACGCAAATATATGTAGAACTGAGATGTTTATTCGGGAAATTAAAGTTATTTTCGATAAATCAGGCAGCCTTGTATTTGAGGCAAATATAAAGATTTGAAAAATGTGGTTAAAGTTGCTAGTTTTCAGTAGCAATCAGTTCGAGGTCGAACATAATAACTGTTTTTAATTTATGGCATTTTATAGATTTCATAGGTTAATAACAACGCGAAGACTGAACCACGCAAACTTGGCCAACTAAATCTGTACTCTGAATCATTGTTTAAACGACATACTGAGGCAAGAAAATGCAAAATGGCAGTGGGAATTTCACAACAACAAATGAACTATGCGAGAAAGAAACCGAAGGTGAAATGGTCGCCCATGCCGTGTTTTTGAGCGCCGTAATGGCTTTTACATTGTTTGGCAATTTTCTAGTCATCGGCACAGTTGCTACGTATGAAAAGCTACGAACTGTGACCAATTATTTCGTCATTTCCCTCGCAGTCTCTGATGTGTTGGTTGGCTTGACAACGCTGCCATTAAAGGTTTGTTTTACTTTTGTTCAAACGGGACAGGATGAATTCGAAACCTTTCTCCTTCACTCGCAAAAGCATTTTGTTATTTACGATTTTAGTTTAACACGCAAGCTGTGAGCCCAAAACTCTCTCCTTCTCAAGTTTCACGTGGAAACAAAATGTGTGAGTCATTCCGTTGCCCGCTTGCCTTCCTCCCTCCCTCTGCGAATACTGAGTGACCCTATTTGCTGCTGCCCGCATCTCAACCCCACTGACCCTAATTCGTATCTTACCCTGATCCTAACCCCTGACCTTACCTAGCTCATAAACAGCTACTCAGCGAGACATGAATCTGTTTATAAGAGAGTGTCCGGGAAAATGTAAATCATTCCCCCCCCGCGCATTCATCAATTACTTGCATGCCTTACAATAGCACGCATGTTAAACCAAGGAGAAACTTGAGAAGGGTATAAACCATTTGCAGAATTACTGGAACATAGCAACATGCGCGCATAGCTTCGACTTCATTCTTTTGAAAAGACAGAAACGTCAAACATTAAGTCAGTCTCGTACCCAGAGTATGCCCGTTCGCAGGTTAGGTATTGGGCATGACATTAAGTCGAAATGAAATTCTAAAGAAATGAAAGAATGAAGAAGAGGCAATGCATATAATGATACGCCCCAGCCACTGTGAGCAGCTAGAGGGTAATGTATTCTTATTGTAGTGTAGTACTAAGTCGAGTTCTTCATTATTCACCATAGATCGACCAGATGACCCACAACAAGAAATGGTGTCATGGTATGGAGTTATGTACGTCATGGATTATTGCGGATATCGTGTGCAATTGTGCCTCAATCTGGAACTTAGTTCTCATTAGCATTGACCGCGCTATCGCAATCTCCTACCCGTTTCACTATCGCGAGATGATTACTAAGAGGAAAGCGTGTCTGTTCATTGCTTTGGTTTGGTGTGGTTCCATCTTGATGGCTTTCTTGGGAATGCTGAACTGGACTTTCCCTGGGAAAGAACATATATTCACTGTGTTCTCATGTCAGAAAGGTGATCGAGTGTATTACACTGTCGCGGCGACTGTGGGCTTCTTTTTACCACTGGTTATTATTCTCATTTCGTATGGTAAGAATCTTTGTGGTTATTGGAATCTAACGGACCTCTTTGTTCTCATTATTACAATTATAATTACTGCCAAAATAACCACCATCATAACCAACAGCAATGCAGCATCACTACCATTGTAATCACTACTACCGTCATCATCCATCATCATCATCACAATCCCCAATATCACCACCATCATAACCACCATCATATCACCGTACTTTTACTATTATAATAATCACAATAACCTTTAACAATTAATATTACCATTATTATTATTATTATTATTATTATTATTATAAACCCGACATTATCAAATTACATTATCATCACTATAGAAGAATAACCGTAATGACCACCAAAGAGTCATGAGAATATCAGATACAAAAGTCCTGGGCAGCTAGGAAAATGTTTTTCTAATGTTTGCCTATCCTTGGAAATCTCTTTATTAGGAAATAATACTTCCTAACAAAGCCAGAAACATTTTTTATTTCTAAGTATTTTCTAAGTATACATTTTTGCGAAAACATTTTTTTGGTTCGCCCAAGTTTGGAAGGATAGCTAACTAGAAATCAATGATTTTAGAACGATCAACGATGTTCCTTAGCCAGCCCAGAGAAATGTTTCTGACAATTGTATTCTATAGTTTTCCCATTTTGATAGTGACATTCTTAGGTTACAAACGTTCCGCAAAAATGTTTATAAAATAACATGTATATAACGCGTATTCTGATTGGTCGAAAGCCGTGTTTGGATCAGGCCATCCAAACACGGAAACCATAAAGTAATTGTATATTCCTAGTTTACATAGCCTTCGTAGCAGGCGTTTACTGTGCTAAACACGCTTCTTTTTCGTCTATTTATTTCAAAGGTATCGTGTTCAGTATAGCATTATCACAAGCGAAAGCCGTAGCAGCGACAGCCAGACGTAACTCGCTTACAACAGTCCACTTCCTTCGCGAATTTAAAGCAGGAAAAACCCTGGCGATTGTCGTGGGAGCCTTTATAGTGTGCTGGTTACCATTCTTCATTATTCTCCTAGTCACATTCTGGGCACCGCTGCAGTTCTACGAATGGAGCATGCGCAATAAGTTGGCATTCGAGTTTGTAGACGTCACATTCATTTACTTGCTGACGTCAGTAAATTCGTCCCTAAACCCCTTCATCTACGCGCTGTTCAACACAGAACTCCGAAGGGGGTTTCTGAAATTTTTCTTCAAGATTATCGGTGTGAAAGCACATCAGCAAAATGCGGGCGATGGACATTCCGGTTCTGTTTCCTACAGCTCAAGAAGACGCTCGAGCACTCCGCTCACATTTTTGAAAAGAAATTCGTCCGTTTAAACTTAAGAAACGATGAAACTGAACAATATTGTCAAATCTAACTACTACTCAGTAACAAACTAAGCAACTTACATGAGCCCTATTCACATTAGAGACGAACAAATCGTCTCTCAAAAATCGTCTTCACAAACGGACAAGCAGTCGAACAAATTCAGACGACTTGTTCGTCTAAAATTTTAAAATTTTGTCCGACACGTTTTCACATCTGATGATTTGTCCGACTAAAAGACGATTTTGAGACGATTTGTTCGTCTAGACGACTTGTCCGTCTTCTAATGTGAAAACGGCTAGGGCAGCCGGTGATGGTCAATTTTAGAATTGTAGATATTTATAGGAGCAACTAAATTACCCCTTCTCGTGCATGGTTTATCCGCCATTTTGGGGGGGGGGTGCTGCCTATAGATGACGTCAAACGCGGAGAAACACTCGATGCGATGTCCCAAGGGTCAATTTTTAGCGACGATTCAGTCGCAATGCAAATGACGTTTTTATGAACATCGCATAAATTGTTTTTGTTCTGCGTTTGACATCATTATAAGAAAGGTTTATTACTATAGTTGTGTGTATAATGGTAAATTTACAGTTACAACTTTGAAAAGTCGCTTTTCACATTGTTTAGATTCCATGTCAGTCTATGTTCTCAGACGTAGGAAGGCAGTACCTCCAAAATGGCGGATATTGACCTGTTTGAGAAAGGCTAATTAAACTACCTTTCAGTAAAATGGTTCAGTTTTAACTTAAAAACGATGAAAATTAATACTGTACTGTAGAAATCTAGCCATTGGTGGGCTTCAGAAAGCGCTACAGGGCAGCAGATGGTTGTCAACTTTACTGATTGTTGACATTTATTGGAACAAGTATACGTAAATTGAACTCATTTCAGTAAAGTGAAATGAGTTCAATTTCTCTCCTTTGCTTGCGAGGTTGCCTCTCCAGTCTCCCCCAGTTCAATGATGTGCCTGGCTTGCGAGGTTGCCTCTCCCCCAGATCAATGATGTGAATACTACCGAAAACACTTTTGGTAGTTTACCATGACACAAGCTCAATATTTTGTCAGCGCTGTAGATTTCTAGACTGAGGAACAACGCCAAATTGAGGATTGTAATTTGTGCCAAATTTAGTAAGATATATATCCGCGCTTTGCGCGAGTTGTAAAAAATGAAAAGGCGAGGGATTCTAGCCTCCGAAAGCGAAGTATATAATGAGCTGTCGTGACGTTTGTCTGGACTAAAGATATACTTCCACCGTTCCACGGTCCAAGCGAATGCCCTTCGTTTAGAAGTCAGACATGCAGTATTATTTTTTTTCAGGTGATAGTCTGTCACAAACCACATGCAGTAATAAAATTAACAGAGGTCACAGAGCATGTTCAATTCAATATAAACCTAATAAGTTTAATACCGTGTAACCAATTCATTATCATACTGCATGTATATAAGAGAATTTGAAAGCTGATGTTTTGTTCTGGGAAACTTCAATATTTCCTGCAGACTTTGAAAAGCATCATCACCGACATAAAAAGCTTGAAACAGACTACTTTTTGCTTTTCGGAAGCCATAAACTCATAGTAGTGTTTTGTTCTTCGGTTTTGTTTTAAAATGTCCGTGACCATGTCCATTTTTGTATACTGATCTTTTGATACCGAGTTAACTGGTATTGCTAATATCAATGTCAATGCCTAGATCAATAAATCCGTTGGCCAATGGACTTAACCATGAGGATGTCAATATATTTATGCAATGTTTACTTATTTGCTGAGACGGAAATTTTCAGGTCAGTTTTACGATATCCTCAAAACAATGATATCATGAAAAATTAATAATCTCACTTTATTTGACTACAGACATCCGCAGCTAAAACACTGAGAAAAATAGTCAGGAAATAATTATAATGATGACTTCTCTACGATCAGAAAAAGTTCGTACAGTAGTCGTGATTCTGTTGCTGATATCTATGCAATGGCTGATAACTGAGGGAAAGGTATATTAAATTTAAATTTACTGTTATATTACAGACGTTGCATATTGAAAATAGCTCAAAATCCTTCTGGGGACATTTGTATATGTGGGAGAGCCACAAGAACGCAGCAAAATTCCTGAGATTATTAAGATATACTAAAAATTATTAACAATATAACAGTTAGAAAATCGCGCTAATTGTGAGCGAGTTGGGTCTATATTGCGTGCCACGTCATTACTCCCTTGTTCGCGATTACGACCCTCATCAAGAAAACAGTGTTAAATTTTCACTATAATTAGATGTAAAATACGTGCTTTTAAAGTGCACCCCAAAAACTGGACAAATTAAGGCTTATCTGTTCTTTACCCTTCTTTCGTCAGTTGTCTGTTTGTTCTAAATCGAAAGAAGGGAAACAAACCTTGTATCGTAAGGTGTCAGGAGATGACGGAGTTTTGATATGCATCAAAAACAGTGGACAATATGTGTGGAAATTTCTAGATGGTAAGGTTATAGGGTAGGCCGAGGTATAGGTAGGCCGAAGGTACAGATTGATAATCTAAGTGCTAAGGAATTGTCATATGTTTAAAAGATTTTAAAATTTTAACAAACAAATTTGGATATAATTTTTGTAGTTTTTCTTTCAATTTTCCAAGAAAGTTTCATGATTTTACTATATTTTCAATATCCTGCTGTAGGTTCCTCTACGCTTGGTGAAAGCTTCAACCCCGCAAAAGATTGCTCTGATATAGTAGACAATCTTCCCGAAGCAAAAGATGGTTTTTATTGGATAAAACACACTAAGGGAAAACCTTCCAAGGTATCGCATCTCACAAAATTTTTTCTAGTTAAGACCAGGGTCTCTTTAAAATATCAGAGGGGAGCTTATTTGAAGTGTGGTGGGGGCTAAATAGAGGGGACATATAAAACATGAGAACGCAGCTCGAGTGTTTTATATCTGATAAAGCACGAACTGCGAGTGTTTTAAATGACTTCAAAAACTCATTAATAATTCATGAAGCAATTATCCAATCTTGAGTAAGAAATTAGTCACGTGCATACGTCTTTATACCAGCTAAAGAACACTTTAACAAAAGACCATTGTTATGCAAACTATATAAAGATTTTTATATAAAGATTTTCACTGATATAAAGATTTTTATATAAAGATTTTGATATAAAGATTTGACTTATTATGCAAACGTTTTTGAAGCCATTTAAAAAACTCGCAGGTCGTGTTTTATTAGGTCTAAAGCCACTCGCGCTGCGCGCTCGTGGCTTTAAACCTAATAAAACACTCCTGCTCGTTTTTTAAATAGTACTTAAAAAACTACACATCTGATGAGTTCATTAGCGAGGTATTTTTAGGAATAAACGTTGTCTAAGCCGAGAAAATCAAAGCTAAAGTTTATAAGAATTAACATACTTTTATCACATATAAAACCACGGAAGTGATTTTCTTTGTCTTTTCCTCATCAATTATTAATAATTTTTCCAATATAACTAATACCCATGTAAACGTTTCGTAGTTATGATAGGGGAGGGAACTCAATAGGGAGGAAGGCATCAAAGAGAGGTGGGGTTAACGAGAGGAGCTGAATAAATTTCTTCCTACAAAAAGGGGGGACTTATTACAGAGGGGCTTTATAGGAGAGAGAACTTAATAAAATATTTAGATCATGGTATTAATAGTATTATTATGCTGCCTAAACAATCCCTAGGCGTGGTGTGATACACATACAGACGGCGGGGGGTTTACGTTGATCGGAATGAAGAACAGTCCAATGACGTGGAATGTTCCATCCAACGAGAAACCAGTAGATCCAATGGGACCTCCTCATTGGTCCAGCAAGTTTGGTGACGTCAACGTGCAGGATTTTGCAATTCAAATCTCAACTACTAAGAATTTTAAAGACACAAAGGCACATTGGTAAGTGAGATAAAATGAAACAACCTGTCGAATAAGTATTGTTAAAGAGCAAAGATACCATACTATACCACATACCATACAATATACCATACAATATACCATACAATATACCATACAATATACCATACAATATACCATACAATATACCATACCTAACCTACCATCTATACCAGTCCATATATACTTGTGGTATTACAACTCATAATTGTTTTTAATAATTTGTATACAGGTCATACAGGTTAAAAACAAACCGTGCTCTTGGCAATCTGTTTGGTGTTGGAAGTGGTGGTTGTACAGACTTTCATTCAGGGATTGGAAATGTGTCTTATGTTAAAGACATCCTTACTGAAACAGTGGTCACTACAAAATTCAACTGTTCAAAATTTGGACCTCATCAGGACATCAACCTGGGATGGGTAACTGTGATAGTACACTGTTTAAAATTTTCCTGCCTGAACTAAAATAACATTCAAAAATTATAATTCAAAAAAGGTTGTCCTTCCGAACTCTCTAAACTGAAACTCTAAGCGCAATATGTTATATGTTAATTTTACTGGTTAAATTTCTTGGTTATATGCCATCCCACAAAACCCTCATTTTTTTTTTAAATTAAAAAATATAATTGATAAATATGGTAAGATTGAAGTATTACTAACGCTATTATTTTGTTAAATTAAGAAGGTCTCCAGCGACAATATGTCTATTCATAATATTCTTGCTTTTTCAGGGAAGGATGAATTCCTGTCTTAGAAACAAATGTCCAAACGGTTATGCATTTATAAAAGGATTTCCTTTCAGACTCGACAGTCATGGATCTTTTAGGTAAACATGCAGAATGGATCTAGTAGAAAACAAATGTTATTCTGAACAAAGTGTGCATGAATAACATTAGTTTTATATTTGCTGAATATATCAGCTAGTAAAGGAGAATGGGCCTAAGCTTGTCTCTGTTGGGCCTAAGCTTTGAATCGGATTTCGGCTTGCAATGTGTATTTTCCTCCTATCTTGTTGTGTATATTAATTTTGGTCTAATTGTGCCGAGCATAACGTGAAAGTCTGGTTTACCGTTTTGCGCACAATTTAAAAACGTGTACGATAGTGTAAACCTATAAAAAAGCTTAAACTTTTGATCAAAAGCTATAAAACGCAAGTTTCGTATTGACTGAAACTGCTGCAAGATGTTATAGCTTTGATCAAAGAAATGTCTTTACTAACATATTATTTGAATTTTCAGTTATAGTGCAAGTTCAGAGTTTTCAGGTATCACACACGATGCCACAGCCTTTGTTGGTTGCGATGCTGGCAAGGTTTGTAAGATTTTGATAAGGTTTGTAAGCAATACCACAGTAGATATGTGCGAGTAACTCCTATGGTTCATGCATAGCAGATGACCTACCCATTGACAGTTTTGAGAACTGAGAAGAGCGTATTTTGAAAACATTTTTATCCAAATTGGGTAATTTTACCTACTGTTTCTATATTTGTCTCTGAGTGTGTCCAGATCGGGCAAGCTGAAACGTTTTACCACTCGATAAGGTAACATATATAACGGTAATAGTACCACAGATTTTAACTGTTAAGGAATTGGAATATCACTAATATTTCAAGTTATTTCCGACAATATGCAATGCTCACACTCCTTATCTTTAGTGTTGTGCATGTTTTGGACCCAAAAGTGGAAGAGGTCATTACTGCAGCAGAAAATGTAAAGCTGTTAATGGTGGTACCATCCTCACTGGTCAGGTTTACGTCTGGTACTGGATCAGAACACGCATGCCTGAACGACTGTGGAAAAGATGTATGGAGTTTAAGATGAAGACTGAAGCTGGGAAATTTGAAACGTATTATATTGATAGAAAGACCGGCACTGCTCATAAGGTATTGTGCGGGGGGGGGGGTTGTGGTTAAAATAGGGCAGGAATGAATAACAGTCAATTTGTAGCAAAAACGTCTTTTCGAAGAAACATTGAGAAGTTTCGTAGAATTAAGCACTATCGTGCACAAGACCTTGTTTGGGAAGCAAATGAATAATACTATAGAAATCAATTTTCATGCCTATGAGTCTCGATAGTTCTTGAAATATGCACAAAAGATTTTTCAATAAATGTGAAATTCATTTTATACAATTTTTTATACAGGGTACATGTTCAGAACAATTTCAAACATTCTTGAATGAAGGTGTAAGTCAATATAGTTTCTTAGCTTCACAAATTATGTTTTGTCTGCATCCGGAGTTTCATTGAGTTTAATAATACTCTATGAAACTGTGAATGCAGAGTTTCATAATTATTTTTTAAATGTTTGCTGTTGAATCGAAGCCTATACAATCAGTTTGATAAATTATTAGCTGTTATTGTTAACTCTTTCAGACACTCCTGGTAAAAAACAAGGAAAGCTTTAAAAATCTCCCACCAGTTCCAGGACTGCTCTTATATCGCGAGGACAACGAAAAACTTTATGTCAACAAAGGAAATAAATGGGATGAGATAAGTAGTGAAAAAGAAGTGAGTTAAGTTGATATACTGTATGTCCTTTCAATTTGATATATGTCCTTTTTTATGATTCATGGCCAATCCCCAGTCGTGAAAAACCTAACATGATTTTAAAAGCAGTTGCTACGACGGCATCGATGTTTATTTTTCGCTACCAATATTCAAATGACTGGACATCATTGGGAAGTGTTGTTTTTACACAACTCTCGCAAAATGGGTAAAGAAAATTATGAGTGACTACCTTCAACGCTGAACCGCCAATTCTGTAAACTCGCGCGCGCTGTCGCGCAGGCGCTTGACTTATATAGTTCAATTCAATTCAATTATTTACAAGACAAACATAACGAAAGATGCATGTGACGAAGAAGCCCAAGTAGAAACCATAAGGCTTATTGAGTTATGGGCTTCCACATTTATAAAAGTATTACAATAGTTTATTCACAGATGTGCTATAGTAGTCAGATAGACTTGACTCAACTAAATTTGGCATATCTGGGTTTTAGAGTATTAAAACCCAAGTATTAAAAACATGTTATAGTCGAGAGAATAAGAAGTTTCTTAATTTGAATTTGAATTGTTGAAGAGTTGGTGCATTACGAATATCGTTACTCAATGTATTAAAAAAACTTGAACCTTGATAGGACACAGAAAATTGACGTAACTTAGTTCTACACAACGGTACATATAACAATTCAGCTGTCCGCAAGTCATAGCCATGCACCTATTTTACTCGTAACACCAGGTTGTCAAAGTTTCTAGGAAGCCTATTATTTATGTATAAAAACATGAATTTCCCCAGATTGTAAAAATAAATATCTTTGAACTTAAATATTTGATTATCTTTAAATAATGGATGAGTGTAGGCATCAAATTCTACCTTATTGATAATTCTAATCACCCTTTTTTGGCCGAGCAATAAGAGACGATTTAATTTATAAGGGTATGTTGAACCACACACTGTTACACAATATTGTAAATAAGGATAGACAAGTGCATAGTATAGTGTACGTAGAGCTACCTTGGTGACACAAAAACTTACTCGATATATGATACCAACCGATCGAGAAATTTTACTAGCAATATGCGAAATGTGAAGTGACCAAGACAAGTGTTCATCCAGGATCACTCCAAGAAAAACTACATGATCTGTGCCATGTAGTGCATGATCATTTATATACAGCGGCAAACTAGTAATTTGTCTCTTTTGCCGTGGTCTAAAAATAATATAATTTGACATCTTTAAATTTAAAGAGAGCTTATTGGCTTTAAACCAATCAGATAACTTAAGTAACTCTATATTGACGATCGATGTTGGTCAAGTTAGATAGATATCTCATGATGAGAAAAAAATAGATTGGTATCGTCAGCAAATAAGACCAATTCCAAGGCATCTGAGACATTGCAAATATCATTAATATATATCAGAAATAGTAATGGCCCAAGTACAGACACTTGAGGTACTCCACATCTTATAGTATTAAACGAGGACGTTACCCCATTGCATTCAACATATTGTTGTCTGTTTGAAAAATAATTTCTTAGCCAATTAAGTGCCAGGTCACGAATTCCATAATGACTGAGTTTTTCGAAGAGAATTTCATGATTTATAGTATCAAATGCCTTTGAGAGGTCTAAAAAAATCCCCACTGCATATTCTTTTTTATCAATTGCTGATGTTATCTTGTCTATTAAATCAAGTAAAGCTAATGAAGTAGATTTAGTTTTCCTAAAACCATATTGGTATAATATACCGGTTTACTGTATATATTACTCTATATAGTGTTATTATTAAGGTAATATAGAGGAATCCGGTGTGGCATGCCTAGAACTTGGCAATCTCGTTCAAGACAGAAGAACCAGGGGATGATTCAATGTGTGGGACCATTATACTCCTTTAAACCGTCGGTTTGCAGGCTATAGGCATGATGGGAATGAAAACACTTGAACTCCAACGTTTTTTTGTCATTTTTCGTTCCCTCGACTGTACCATGCCTAGAGAAAAATGTCATGTTACATTAAATTTTAAAATAAAGCCTTTGTCCAACGGTATAACGTATACAGTTGTGACTGATGTTATATAATATGCCGGTTTACTGTATATATAACCTACAAGAACAAATAAGCAGTCTATTTTGGCTTGTGCTGCATTTTAATTAATCAGCTAGTGCATTTAAATATTTTAGACAGAGAATTTAACAGCTCAAGTTAAACATCTCCAAAAGAATTTACAAAACAAAAATTCTCAACAAGACACGAAAACTCAAAACCTGGAAACAAATACGAATGCAAAGTTACAAAGTCTTATCAAGAAAAACTCTCAACAAGATTCGCGAACTCAAAAACTGGAGACAAATACAAATGCAAAGTTACTAAGTCTTATCAAGAATAATTCTCAACAAGACTTGCGAACTCAAAAACTGGAGACAAATACAAACACGAAGTTGAAAAGTCTTGAAGACACGTTGAAAAAGATTGAAACAAAACTAAGCAGTAAGTCACAGCTGACTATGCTAGACAAGATATTGCTTATTGTGAATACAGCTATTTCAGTTAAGCTGTTAAGGTTAATTGCAGTGACGTTCCAGAGGGGGGCGGGGGTGGGGTGGGGGTATAGCCTATACGGTATTCTTTGCTATATATGTATTACAGATAGCTGTATTACACTTGTATACATAACAAACCGATAAATGGTTACCACTACTTGCTTATCCCATAAATATCTCATTCCATTAGGCGCTTGTATTGTATATTTTACTACTTCTTATAACCGTCACAAGCAATGTGAATAGCCTTAATTAAAATAACTCAAAATGATTTGGTGCATGTGAAATACCAAGTTAGGTCAAAATTCAGGTTTTGAATGAACAACCATCATTTGTGTATATAAAACTGAATAAAATTTACATTTGTGGTGTTACTCTGAGTGTATATCCACACCGGGCAAATATCATATTATAAATATCACAAATATCACAAATATCATATTCACCTGAGTACACTACACCAACACAGAAAAAAATTTACATTATTTCATTTCATTTCATTTCATTTCAGGCAAGTCGGTGTATGGTTCAAAACCAAACCCTGGAAGGTCTTGTAAATATATTCTGGTTGCAAATAAATTAGCCGTTTCGGGTACTTACTGGATCAAGCTCACGTCCAGTTTAAAACCCTTTCAAGTTTACTGTGATATGGAAACCCAAAGGGGAGGCTGGACCTTGGT